GTTATTATAGTGCTTTTATTTAGAACATATGAACTATTAATTTTGATTGCGTAAAGCATTAATTTGCCTTCATGAAATATTAATGCAGAGTTCTTTTTATTTAAGATGTATTTGTAATGTAGAGTTCTTTTTATTAAGAAAAAAAAAACAGCATCTTTCGAGTGATGGAACCATCATTCATATTTCTGCTTAATTTTATTTGGACTTATTCGTCTTCTATCACTCATTTATTAAGCGGAAAGCTGATTGTTTCAGAGAACACTTATATCAATTTTTCTAGAAAACAGTACATTTTCGAGTAAAGAGCAAATATAACACTGAGCCAAATATATTTCTATCACTAGTAAGACCAAAAAACAGTTTATAATTTCTTGTCCTATAAACCTAATCAAATGATCTTATGACTTTTCTACCATATAAAGGTAAATATTACATTTCAACACAGTTCATTATTCTGATATAACATAAGACATTTGTTAAGGTCGTAATTCAAATACGAGTTTTTTTTACTCAAGTGCAGTTATTTATGAGTTATTCAAGTTCAAGTGCAATATCAACAATTTGTAAAGTACTTTCAACTATTATTTAGTTCTTTGCGCTATTTTGTTGAAATTAATATTTTTTAAAAAATTTCCAAAGAATTATTTCTAGTAATAATTGAAACAAAGTTTTACACGTTATAAAGTACGAAAAAAAGATCTTCAAAGAGTTATTTAAGAGTTAAATTATTTAAAGAGTTAAATGAGTTAATCAATAATTTACATAGCTGGATTAATATCGTGTTTGGGAAAATAAAGAAAAAAAGACTTAGCTTGGTATGAGAAGCAAGATTTGTGGGAAACTTTACCATGGGCTGTAATAATTTTTTTTTTATTCAAACCTAACATTAAAATTTTTCTTAAACTTCTTGTTGAAACTCTCCTTAAATTTAGTTTTGTTTACTATAGTGATAGCGCTAAAGAGTGACGAAAAGTATGAAAGATAAATGGTCTACATTTGGGATAATTGAAAAGTTTTAGGTGCAATAAAAGAGGTAGCTGAGGTTTTAAACAGAATATCTTATATTTAAGCCAAAAGCTTTCAAAGTTATAATTAAAATATATTGGGGATTTCTCTTAATGTATATTTTCCGAATCCTTATCAAAAATTAAAACAAAAAAGTATACACATTGGAGTTAGCAAATTAATTTTTCACCGAGGAAAAAACAAAAACGCATTCAAAATCTAATACATAATGTTGCAGAAATGTAAGAACAATACGCAGCACGATAGGTTTGATAACGGGAGAAAACACCGAGGAGGTTTAAAGATGATTATTATAAACATCTTCAAATTTCAGCCACTAATTAAAGCCGATCACGATATTTATTACATCTGCCACCCTATTACTATAATTAGTCAGATTTTGTTAGTGTCTTTATTTTTTAATCGTTTGCATATTAATTTACGAAACCCAATGTTTGTATTTTGGTTTTCCATTTTGATAAGGATTCTAAAAATGTATATCAAAATGGTCTTAAAGGAAACTCCTGCATACTATAATATATATAAGAAATATCATTTATCCATTACCTAAAAATACTTTGCAATGCAAATAAATGTGTATTCAGAAGAAATTAAAATAATTATTTATAATTTTTCTGCACAATATCTTAAAAAGTTTATGAATACTTTGATACCATAAACGTAAAATTACTTTGAAATTTATGAAAAACAAAACTCTACTCATGTTAATAATTTAAAAAATTGACACTTTCATTATTTCATTTTTTTAAACACTGGTAAGTTATTAAATATTTTTAAAATTCATATTTTATTTTTTTAATCAAAATTTGTTGTAATCTGAAAGTTTATTAGTTATTCACAATTTAAAGAAATTAATCAAGAAGTTCAAAGTTTTAGAAAAAATTTTGTGTGATTGGATTAACAACTGTGATTTACTTCCTATATTAATTTAGTAATTGGAATTTTAATTACTAATTGGAATTTTAATTACTAATTTTCTGTTAAATAATTTTTCTGCCTAGTTTTCTTTTTAAATATTTCAGTTTTGCTTTACGTATTTCATATTTCAAGAGATTAACTTTCGAAAATGTTTACTCAAAAAAAAAAAGAAAAAAAAAAGAAAAATCAAAATATTTCATATTCAATGCACGTATTTTATAAACATGAATTTTTAATTAGAAAATCTCTTGAAATGATATTTAAAACAAACTTTGTGAAAATCTTTTATGGGGATATAATTATTTTATAAATATTTTATGAATGTGATGTACTTGGCAAACATTACCATTACTTAGTTTGCAAATTAAGTTTTAAATTAAATCAACATAAAAGAAGAAATTGCATTAAAGAGAAAAAATCTTAAGTGCGGGAATTAACCAAAAAAAAGAAAGAGTGAAAATAAAAATACGAACATAACAGAGTTCCGCGCAAGGAAAATGTATTTTTCTAAACAAGTTTGGTATTTTTCTCAAAATTAATGCACTTTTAACCACTTGCTTTTAACACTGGAATATATGAGTAAATCTTACACTGCAAATAAATCAAGTGCTTTTACTACTCGTTTTAAAATTTTCTAAAAATGCTATTCTAATATTCTATTTTTTCTCCACTTTCGGTAAAGTGCTCTCAACAAAGCAGTATTCACTATTTTCTTATAAGGAACATTAACGAGGCGATTTCTAGGCATTATTACAGGTTTCTTGGTTAGGAAAACTTAGGGATAATTAGTGCTCTCAGCGGGGGAATTTTTTCCCTTTCTTCTTTTTGGCCATTAAAAGGAAAGTTTCTAGTCTTCTTTGTCGCCAAATGACCCTTGAGGTTGGATTTTATCACTCACTGATTAAGAAAGTGTGGATTTATTCTTTTAACGCAAAAACAGGAGATTGGATTGTATTGTAAATTTAAATACTATGTTACTCTATTTAGAAAGCGAAAACAAAAGCCATTATGAAAAAGAGAGTGTCATTATTTCAAAATATAAAATTGCAAACAACCTACTTGAAGCACGTATTCGAGCTTTCTGTGTATATATGGGAACGAAAAAAAGCTTTCAAAGAATGATTTAAAATAATTACTCCTTCATTTAGTTTTTGAATTTGAATAATTAGCGGCAAAGCCTTTCGAAACTTTCGTACTAATATTTTTTTTTTTTTTTTCATTTTGCGGAAAGCTTTTATCGTAATAGAAAATTAGTTTTTAATGTTGAAACATTGCAAGTGGTTTATTAATAATCTCACTAAGTTTGAAATAACTTTTTTTAAATACAGTTTTAGGTAAAATTAATATAAAGTTATCTTTATAATTGTGTCGCTTTCAGTCATTCGATTTTGAAATTAATTTTTTGATCAAAAAACTAATGATAGAAATTTGTTATAAAAATACAAAAAAATATCTACAGCAAAAAGAAAAAAAAGAAAAGATTAAGTATTGAAAAGAAAAAAATGCATCAATCAGCCATAATGTTTTTTCCTTTATTAAATTTCTTCCAATTACATCAACATTGTTTGCAATTGATTGAAAAACCACGTTCGAAAACTGATTAGTACGCATTTTATTTCCATCTTAAAACGTAAAATAACGTCGTTGAACAGCCGACCCAATATTTTGGGTTTACGACTACAAATGTTCAACTCCGCAGCCATGTAATTTTGAACCAATCAGAAGACAAGGAAACTCCTGGATCATGTATAGGAAGAAATTTGTTTTTGAGGAGGACTTCTCAATTTATCTAACCCACATTTGCGTTGCATGGAGAGGAAGACCACTAGAACCTCTCACTGTTAGCCTGACGGAAAGGGGACTGATCCGTCTGACTACTGAGGATATTTTACGTCAGCATTGTGGTCGGTGCCATTACGGCTCAACGACATTTATAAATAGAATTCGGCTAATGTTATTCAAATTATAACTAAACGTGTTGCATTTCAGAGGCGAAAGATAAAAGAGATTTTACCTTAACTCCAATGCTAACGCTATTTAAGTTTCACAACGCAATGCGTGAAAATTTCCCTGCAAATCACAGAATCGGTAAGGGAAAAAAAATAAAAGTCAGCGTTGCGATTGAAGTAAGATAACGCTGTGCGAAATCTTTATTTTTTATGTATTTTATTAAATACTAATTGGAAACAAAAATTGTGTTGTTGACGGTAAGAATGATATTAATCTTTTACAGGTCGTTTTCTCATAAAATGTTATTTTTGGAGAATTTTTATCCTCTAAAAGCGAAAAACTTCATTCCTGTGTTTTAATGATTGCCTTTTATTTGAATTGCCACAAAGAGCAGTCATATAATGTCCGCAAAATTGTTTCATCCTTAAAATAAGTAAAATGATTTATTTTAAATTTTAAGAAGGCAGTTGAATGATATATGAAAATAGATGAGTAGCATGTGGACAAGGAAATGGACATATTCTAGCAAACGGATGATTTCGATTGTAGGCAGGTGTTCGTTTGATTAAGATTGTTGTATCCACATTAAAATGTAAGATTGATCAGAACTAAACCTCTATTTGTACACTTTATAGAATTTTCATACTTCACAATTTTTTTTTTATTTTTGCAGGCTGAATTGCAAAATCAGTTTGCAGATTGGAATGGCAGATTGAAATCACATTCAGTGATTTTTCCCTGTTTCTTACAACATTTTTGAATTAGATTTAATTTCAATTTTACCTAATTGAGTGGTTTCAATTTATGTTTGATATGGTACATTCATTTCTGATTCTAAGGTCATTTTTATGTCATATATTTAAGTTTCTTCTTTTTTCAGTTAAATATAGCTCCAATGATCTTCATTACAACCAGTAAATTTTCTTCGTCTATTTCAACACTTTTGAGATAGATTTAATTTCGAGTTTATCAAATATAGTAGTATACATAATGCAATTTAATTTCGAGTTTATCAAATATAGTAGTATACATAATGCAATCAATGCTTGACATGGTAAAACCAATTCTGACTCTGTTGTTGTTGCTGGCCCACACGGTTAGCGGAGCTAAACCAAGTCCATGACTCCAGAGACTCTGAGTAAATCTGTAACAAAAAGTGGATCTGAAAAGAGGTCCACTTTAGAGATATTTAGGCATTGAAGTATATGCTCAGGAGTAGCTTGTTGGTCGTTACACTTAGTGCAAGCAGGGAAAACTCTTGAACCATTACTGAACAACATAGTTCTTAGGTGACCGCTTCGAAATCTTGATATAACCGTCTGATCCCGCCTACTGCACTGAAGGGTCAGGCTGCCACCTGGGCGGTTGCACTGATACCAATGATGAGCAGGAGGGGCCACAGGATCACGAAGCCTGTTAAAACGGGAGTGGAGCACCGAGAAAGTCAGAGATGCCGAAGAATGCAGGGGCAAATCAGTTCCGCTCTTAGCCAAGGAGTCTGCAATCTCATTACCCTCAACATCGACATGAGATCGGATCCATTGCAAGTGTATATTAAGGGAGAAAGAAAGGGTCTTCAGCTTGTTTAAAATTGAAACTCCATCACTGTCACCCACCCCGTGCCAATCCGAAAGGTGCTGGATTGCACTCTTACTATCGCTCAAAATCCAGATGTCATTTGATCCAGGAAAAGTAAGCACAGCGCCCAATCCAGCATCTATAGCGATCAGCTCGCTGCGAAAAACAGAGCAGTGATCAGGATTTCTCAACTTGATATGGTAAGAGCTGTGATTGGATCTGACGAAGACACCACTGCCAGAACAAGAATCGGCATTCCTACTGTCATCTGTATAAATAATAGTTGCCTCTCTCGGAATGCTGTTGATCAATGCAAGAGCAATTTGTCTCAGATACTCACGAACGTCAGAAGAATTGCTGACATGAACAGGAAGAAATGGGTGGAAATACACTCTTTGGAGTCCCTCGATTGGATCAACACAAGAGTTCAGATAGTGCGGCTCAACATTTTCATAAGTCAAATTATCACCGATCACTAGACTGAAAGGGCTGTTTCTCTTGAGCCTTTGGTTATTTCTCCAACTGTGAAGGAAAGCTGACGTTCGGTTACCAGTACCAAAACTGAGTAGTTTGTTATAATATTTGACAAGCATTGATTTTCTTCGAAAACTGAGCGGTTGTAAGTCAGCCTCAAAGAGGACAATATCGTTGGGGCAGCTGTTACGTAAACCTGTAATGATCCGCGCAGCACTAAGCTGAACCCGTTCAAGCCTCTCAAGTTGGGTCTCAGAAGCACAACAATAAACTGGANCAATTTGTCTCAGATACTCAGGAACGTCAGAAGATTTGCTGACATGTACAGGAGGAAATGGGTGGAAATACACTCTCTGGAGTCCCTCGCTTGGATCAACACAAGAGTTCAGATAGTGCGGCTCAACATTATCATAAGTCAAATTATCACCGATCACTAGACTGAAAGGGCTGTTTCTCTTGAGCCTTTGGTTATTTCTCCAACTGTGAAGGAAAGCTGACGTTCGGTTACCAGTACCAAAACTGAGTAGCTTGTTATAATATTTGACAAGCATTGATTTTCTTCGAAAACTGAGCGGTTGTAAGTCAGCCTCAAAGAGGACAATATCGTTGGGGCAGCTGTTACGTAAACCCGTAATGATCCGCGCAGCACTAAGCTGAACCCGTTCAAGCCTCTCAAGTTGGGCCTCAGAAGCACAACAATAAACTGGATAACCATGTTCCAGGATTGGTCTAATAAGAGCCAAATATGTATTGCGAAGAGTTTTCGAATCGGCTCCCTAGTCGTGCCCTGAGATGAATTTTAAAATCCCCAGACGTTTTCTACTCCTAAGTACCAGATGATCAATGTGCTTACTGCTGGTAATCTCCGGGTCCAGAGCAAATCCTAAGTATTTAGGGTTCTTGTCTACGGAGAGAGGCTGTCCATTCAAAAAAATATTAGGCTAGTAATTATATAGCTTCCTGTTAGTAGTGAAGAAAGCGGAACTAGACTTTGAAGGGTTAAAACTTAATTTGTAGTGCTCAGCAAAACTCCACACGTCAGCGAGAGTTTGATTGATGTTGTTCTCCAAGACCGAGATGCCTCTGCCAGAATTCCAAATGACGATGTCATCTTCAAACAGGCCCACTTCACACTTTTTAGAAGCAACAGTTTCGATGCCACCCAAAAACAACGAAGAGAGTTGGAAAAGAGTTGGGCTCAAAACGGAGCCCTGAGGTAATCCCTGACTCTATTTGAAGGCCTTTGACAGGGAATTATTAAAATTAACCTTGATTGTTCTGCTGCCTAAAAAATCATATAACCAAGGCAGGATTCTATCTCCCAAATGAAAGGAATATTCTGACTCTAAGATCATTAATCTCTACTATTATTCAAATTCACGGTGAGAATCTCGAGTCATCCTAATTATCTTAATCTAATACTGAGATTATTAAGCACGATGTTGATCCCATTCAATATGAAAATTGAGTTTTCTAAAACAGTTATTGAATATCACTCCGAAGATTTTTCTTCTTTTTCATAACTAGACAATAAAAAAAAGAAATGAAGAACTTTCATGTGATTTTAAAACAGAAGTATGCCTCCCTCCCAAAACTCAAAAATTGCATTTTATTACGTAGACTCATATATAGTTACTTTTAAGTAACCGACGATTAAAAATGGTTTATTTATCATACACTTAAAATCATAGCAATTCTAAAATATAACTACACTTCGAGATTATATTATATGATTCATCTTACTAGTTAGGAAGGAAATGTAAGCTCTGTTGCTCTGGGATTTAAATTTAATGACAACAGGCAAGCCGTTTAGAACATTTAGATCCAAATGCGGATTTCATTCATTTTAATATTATCGCAATTGTGTATACGTGGTCATCAAATTTGACGGGGACATAAACCCCGCCTTCTAAATCACGCTCTTCCATTTTAACCATCCTAACCAATCATAAATCTAACTAGAATCGATGCCGGCCGAGCGATAGTAATATCCGTAAATAGGCCCTGCATCCCAATATTTGGGGAAGCAATTAGGTTGCTGCAGTGTAAATCGATGCATCGAACAGATAATTGTTTGGGTCATTGAGTTCATTATGGTTAATGGTTCTTTTCGGAAAAGGAGCAGGGGTACATGATTGTTGTTTCTATCGGGCTAGCCTCTCCCAATCCTCCCGGGAATTTTCTCCTGTTTCTCTCCAGGATCCATCATCCATCCAGAAGCAATCCTGCTTTTCCCACATCCTTTTTCATTTCGCCTTTTGAGTCAGCTAGGGTAGTCATTAGTTACCAAACACTCCGTCTACTTTATAGATGGGAAAGGAAACTGATTTCGAATTTGTGTACCTCCCATCTTCTCTCCACTCTTATTTTTCTAGTTTTTTTATGCTTTTCGCATTCGTTTCCGAAGAGATTTGCAGTGGTGATAATAGGGTTAGTATTTTAAGGTAGGCAGTCTTTACGAATACTTTCCTCTAAAAGAGTGATTAGATGAGACTATTTTAGGCTTATCATTGGATGAAATGTAACAGAACACTATACTTAATTGCCTGTTTTTTTTTTATCCCTATTGATTAATGAATATTTGTAATTGCCTATAAGTATTGATTAAAGTGTGCTTATCACGAAATAAAATACTGTAATAATTAACTAAGTCTCGTAGTTTTTCAAAATAAACGTTAATTGATTCGTAAATGTTAATTATTAGGAAAAATTCGAAAGCTTTTTGGGAGTTTGCTTTATGTGAGAAATAGTAACTCTTCATTATTGAAACTTAGGTAATATATTTTAGGGCAGTGCAAAACTCTAGCTAATTAAACTTTGACTTTTATTTTACTCTCTAAGAGTCATACTTTGTTTGTATATTTATATTAGTAAAATAGCGTCCTAATGCTAATTAAGGTTTAAGACTTAAACTTTCTTAGAAGATAACGTTATATACAAATTACTATCCAGTTAAATGCTCTTTATTGGTCCTCGGTATTGCGGTATTGGTCTTCGTTAAACTGTGCTACCGTAAAGTGCTCGACTTCGCGCGCAGGTCGTCGGGCTACCGAAGCGGGGGTGCCATCCCCTCCGCAGAGGATCAAAATTGCGATGGCATGTCTTCGGATCATCCTCCGGGATGTTTCCCAGACCGTCGCCAATAGCCCATTGTGCAGCTCTAGTGCGACGTAAATTAACAACAACAACAACAGCTCTTTAAGACAAAATATAAAATATGTCATTATTATAAACAAAATTGTAAAGCAAAAAATACAAAATAAATAAATAATAAAAAACCCAGAATTTTTTTAAATAATCGATTTTTTAATTTTTGTTCAATTTTTAACTTTATGCCCTTTTTTAACATTTTATTTAAGTTTGGAGAAAATAGACAGATTTGTACTGATTACTGGGAACTTAATTTGTATGTGTTTAGAAATATTTTATTCTTGGGCAGATTACTTAAAACATGTCGACTTTTTCAAATCTAAGTACTTTTGTAGCAAATGAAGTTTTCAGAATTACAAACATATCTTAAAATTTTAGTTTTCAGTGAATATACATTTCATATAGACATTTGTGACAAAAGTACAGAGACTCAATCGGTAATGTGAAAATACTTTTGCAATGATGCTTCCTAAAAAAATATTCATGATGAGATAAACCAAATTAACGACGAGGAAAGAAAATGCAAAGATAATTAAAGTGAATTCAAATCAGATTTCCAATTTAAAAATTATGATTTTGCTATAAAATGCAATGAACAGATACAGTTAAATCTTCATCCCTAAATATGCCACTTGATTGGCATGCATTTTTTTTCATTAAAGAAAATTGTTTTGTTTCGATATTCAGGAATGTGTTTGTTTAGGGAACCATAATTATAGTCTGTCCCTTTTTGTGTCTTTATTTATGACTTTGATATATAATTATTAAATAACAAAGGTTAAATTATATTTCACACAAATGGAACGAATTATCTTTCGGAAAGAAATTAGTTCACCTTTTAAATGTACTTACTGAGGGCGCATTGGATCTAGAATATAATTTGTGAACATTATAAGATGTGTTATTATTAAAATGAAAATATTTTTCATTCCAAACAATACTGTTCAAAATCTTTAATAGACAAAAAGAACGTTAGCGGCAATTTTTTGACTATTTTTTTATTGATTTCAATTTTTTAAATGAAAAGAATAGGCTGCTGTCTTTTAAGTAAGTTATCCATCCACTGTCTTTCAAGTAAGTTTCTTATAAGTTTCTACTACTGGCCATGACTGTTCAAGCATCAGATGAACGTTGTTCTATGCTAAATTTGCAAATTGTGCAACATAAATGAGTAAATTGATGGCCTTCACTTAAGTCGCTGTCTTACACTTTATACTGGATATCTTTGACAAAAGCATTGGGAGGTCAGACACATATCACATTTTATGAGCTATACTGTAGAGCAGTGTTTCCCAAAGTGTGGTACGCGTACCCCCAGGGGTACGGGAACCGTTTCGCGAGGGTACGCGTTCCTATGTAAAATATCTTGTAACAAACAAAAAGTTATCAGTTCTATGTTATCAGTTACTTTAAGGTTTGTAAAACTAAATAATTTCAATTTCTAAAAGTAATGATTTTCTTTAAATTTCGAAATTTTTGATCAATGAGCGAAACTTTTTCTAGTGCGATGAATTTTTTTCATTTCTCCACTTATAGTTGTATTACTTTCTATTCTAGAAAATTAAAACAAATGCAAATGATTCAAGAAGAAAAAATAACTCAACAAATTGGTATTATTTTAAAACACAAAATTAATATTTTTATAAAAAATGTTTCATACTTTCAATGCAATATTTTTACAAATTTTTTTTCAAACTTTCAATGCAATATTATCTTAAGTCTCAATCTAGAAGTTGATAAAGAAAACTTTTTTATATGTCTAACAATTCTGGAATAATACGTTTTTACTTCATTTTTTGATGGTTGCAGCATTTATGTTTCATCGTTTGGCAACAGATAGTTTGAGCGCGTTAGAAATGGAAGAGCAATCATTACTGAAAGGAAATTATTATCAGTTGGATGGGATAAAGGTTCATAAGCGTGTCAAGAAATATAAGAGGTAGTATTTGCGTCACAAAGTAGCTATTAATCATTGCTTTACCGTGACATAACGAAAATAACCTTTTCGTGTATAAGACGACTATTACTCAATGTTAACACAGGTAATGGTTATATGCCCATGGGAAAATTGCCAGGTGCATTTATCGTGTTAAAGAAGTGTCTGTGTACACTACTGTAAGTTTCATAAAACTCTTTGTTCCAAAATACACTTAGTTTAGATGCTCGTTTTGCTTCTGTGAGCAAAATAAGAAAAAGAAACCTGTTTTTTTCTTGTTTCAGCGTAAGCAATCCATTAGCATTTTCTTGAGAAAATAGCCGGCTTTATTTATTAAAATCTTAAAGAGAGACTTTTATTTATTGCTGAAGTCTTTTTAAGGAAATTTGTTACGTTTTTATTCTTGGAAAAGATTTTAATTTGTTTGTTAATACATTTTTAAACGGATCATTAAAGCTAGGTCAA